GGAACGCTCCCCCCTGCACTTTCGCTCTGCAGCTTCAGTTGATGTTTTTTAAAAAGCTTCTTAAGACTCTTTTCCAATTTGCTTTTGAACACATTTATTCTAGTCGCTTTATTGTGACTTTTAAAGTGTTGTTTTTCTTTCATGATTTTTATTGTTGTTTTGACTGTTGTGATCGTATTCTGTAGAGCACTTTCTGACCCCACTCTGTGAAAAGGTGCTATACCTAATAAACGTATTATTATGATTAAGACATGACGTAAAATCACATGTAACCGCAACAGGCAGCAGGATGGTGATTGTTGCAAAATTAAAAAACCTCAAGCAAAGTATTGAAACAGACAACAGTGTCATTTTGTCATTTAGGAATGGTTGGACAGGAAATTGATTGATTAGCGTGTTATGACAGACTTACACACATCTCATTGTGTCACGTTTAACTGCAGAGAATGTGAGAATGTTGCCATTCAGGTTCTACAGCATACCCGAGCTGGATTCTATATGTTGTTTTCAGTATCAGTCGAGTCGTTCACATTCAGGAGAACATGTGAACAGAATGCAGTTGTTGTTATTGTACAGTATCAGTTGAACTCAATGCAGGATTTGGATAATGAAACAGAATTATTGACTATTGGTGACATATTTGTTAGTGATACTTCACAGCTGGAATCTCAGTTAGCCCATTCCAGGCTGGTTTTAATACCATGATTTGATTCTTTATTGAATTATTAAGTCGTACAGAAACCAAACTGCATCCAATATATGAATAATCAACCACAAGAAGTGGGACATGCTGAGATGTTGTTCATCCTGCACATAGATGTCTGCACAAGTTGCTGTAAAGACTTTGTGATAGTCTCACTTCAGCCATTTTCACATCTGCACTCCTGAAAATATTAGATCATTTCAGGAGAATATCCTGCTGCAGTCACACATACAGCTCCTCTTGGAAATATCAGGAGTGTTTTATGAGTTTTCTGCAAGTGTGAAAGTGTCAGTTTGGATCAGTGTTGCTGAACATGCAAGAAAAAGAAACTTCACGAAGTTGTTGCAAGAATTATCTGAATTTGACTTGATTTGTATTTAATTTGTTTTTCACTCTTAGACAGACAGACAAATAAGATCTGCCACAAGACGGTCAAAGCCGAGGTAATCCCATTCATTGTAGTCAGCTGTAGTTTACATTACATCCTTTAGGTGTTTCACTTTCCTATTATCAACTGAGTAAACTTAAGTATTAAGGGATGAAGATGTGTTTTCACATGTGACTTACTGAATACTAATTCATTTCTGATTCACTGCTGCTGCTACTGCTGCAAATGTCACAATTTCTAAAGGACAATGCATGAAATAGTTTTTCCCTGTGCGCTATCGCCATCTGCTGGATCAACCAGTCCAGACTCAAACCAAAAAGCCCCATGAATATAGTATCCCAGTTCTCCTTTTCAAAGTGCATTGATTCTGATCCTGTGCCATTTTCTGGTGTGGAGAAGTGAGAATGTAAACTGTAGCAATTGGAATGAATTTTTGAACGTTATGTAATGGTAAGCATTGCGATTGGCTGCTGCTTCAAATAAAGTATCTCCCCCCAACTGCCCCTCAGGAGACAAAGCTACCATGGGAGCACCCACATCTGGGACTTTCCCTCCTCTGTGGTGCATCCATAGATTCTGGCTCATGTGTCTATGGGCAGTACATGCATTAGACCCCCTCCTCTTTGGATTTTAAATCTACCCAAATCCTCCCAAACTAGTGTTACCCTGTCCTGCCCAAGAGCTGGAGGGACCAAACACTGACCTGAAGGATCAGAGCAAAGCCTTTGAGTGGGTAGCTAATTCCCTCTTTAGCCCTCATCAGCTGTCCTCCGGGCTGAGACGGAGGCGTGAGCGATAAAGCAAAGCTAACCCCATCTGGCAGAAAAGTACAGAATCGGCTAATAGAGAAGGAATGGTGACATTGTTACTCGTGTACGTTTCAGACTTTTTTTGAAGAATTGTCTGTAATCTTCCATTCCTCAGAAAGTTGAAAACCACAATTGTCACGTTCAGCCCCTCGCCCCAAACCCTTTAACAAGACTTTTTAAAAGTATTTACATCTGAAGCAAACAGTAAAGCTCTCATCCTCATTGGATGTGTATACATGTGTACCACACACCTACCAAGGGGATACAGCTGGAAATAGCTACAGCTATAGCTATAGCTACAGTCTGGCATATTTACGTGTTGGTTACTGCGTCAGAGCACGGTGTAGTCTAAGGCAAATTTCCCACTTGGACAATAAAGTTTAGCTTATCTTCATGTTAATTTCCCCTTCCATCCATTTCGGGGTGGTGGCCCACATGATGAGCACCACTAAGCAACATTTGGAGAGGAAAAACATCCTTTGAGAGGCAGAAACCTCGAGCAGAACCAGACTCATGAGGAATAGCCGTCTGCAGAAACTGTTGGGCATGGACAATGAGATAGAGGGAGATATAGTAGAAGAATGGTGAAGACCAAAACAGCCATTATTCACAACGTTGTGGTTTTGATTCTGTTAAAGAAAATCCCCTTTTCTTGATGATCTGGATTGAACATTATTTGTCCGTATTTGTAGCGAGGAAGGGAGATAGATCGTCAATGGGCGATCTGCATTGAGACTAAGTCACCACCTATTTAATACACCTGAACGCTGAACTGGAACCTTAGTAAGGGGCGACCAAATACAACAACATTACCTAGCTTTTCCTAAAGTCTACTTTGATGGATTCAAAGGACATGGACTATCTTTTTCTTTGTCTCTGTTAGCAGTCTGTAAGTCAAAACAGTGAAATGTGGAGAAAAGGACGATTTAAGTTAATGTGGCAACAACCGCCTTTCATTTTACCCTCATGAGGGTCAAAATGTTCGGCTTGAGTCCGCTCCTTTTTCAGGAGGTGTTGATTCCACTGCATGATCAGTTAGCTGAGTTTGAATGGCGTATTAATGATAGGTATGTCTGTGTTAATTTGAGCTAAGTGCACCAATCAAGTGTATTTATTCACCTCCAAAAGTGACACAACACTGAAACCCCTCGAGGCTTCTGTTACTTACAGTGTCAGTGACTCTATTGCCCCCTGTTGCCCCAATTGAGCAGTAATACAAGATAAATTGACACTGGACCCAATTTCATCTTTACTTGAAGGCTGATGTGCTTCTGTTTAGAGTGGTGCCCTAACCTATCTGTTAGCCCTAATGGAGACCAATATATAGATAAGTGTGTCCTGCCAGGAAAATCAATATCGATGTGGCCCCTGATGGTTTTTGAGTTAAAGTGCTTTGTTTTCTGCCGTTGCCTCGAAACAAAGAGCTGGTGGGTCCTTCTATTAACAATTCCCAGTCAACCTTGAGACCGAGTCCCAGACAGAGAGAGAGATAGAAATAGAAGGCGGTGGTGGTGGTGGTGGAGGTGGAGGGTGGCAGCAGTGGTACCAACATCAGTAGAGCGTTAGATTTGGTGGAGGATAGAAAAGCATCATCAACGGAGCAAGCGCAAGAGCTGTGAAGACGAGTGATGGGCTGAATCCAGATAAATCCAGCTATGAATGGCTACAATCATCCTTTAATAAGAATATAATGCTATTAGAAAAAGGTATTTGGCTAGGTATTTAAGAAAGTGATTGAGTAGAAGCAGAAGTTTTCAATCATTACATTGAGCTCAGGTAAACGCCAAATATGTTTTTGTGAATATAATTTTATTGATTTTAAGAAAAACAAGCTTCATCTTGCTACATCATATTTTCAGTGACTGCACAAAGATTCTGAAAAGACTACATAACCAGAGATAGATGCAGTGTAAATATAAATGCTGGATGTCGCATGTGTTCTCCAAATAATTATAATCTTTAATTCTATTTAATCTGTAATTAGCTTGTTGGACAGATACAACTCTTAATGCTTTAGAAATCTGACAGAAATAAAATGTGAGCTATCTGAGTGAGATATCTTCTTTCTCCACACCAAACAGCCTCGTGTGCGATCAATCATCACTGAGTCAGCCACGCTGTCCCGTTCACTCTCGTCTTATTTCTAAAAGCTCAGTCCTTCTTAGAGCGTCAGAACAAGTAAAGCTAGATCTCTGTATAAAAATAAATACACTCTTTGCTAACATTATCACAGTGTCCATGTTTGTGTCGTTGCACATGAGCGCTTCCTCCCTAAAATATGATCATGCACATGTATGGAGTATTTTCTTTTTTTATTAGGTGATGCAGTAACGTGACAAACACAACACGTGACAGAAAGACAAAACAGGAGTAAAAATCAGAAGACGGAAACTACAACATTGAAGGCTATACATTTGCTCTTTGATGGAGTTAAGGCAAGACACTTCAGAATAATTGATTTCTGAGTGATAGAAGATCCTTGTAGGTTTATCTGTGAAGATGTACGGAGAATTTTGAGTTTGTATACGGTTTACATCACATCTAGTTAATGCGTCCTGTGATGGGGGAAGCTGTGTTGGTTCTGATTGTATCTTACCTCTAAAATGTTATTTAAATCTTTGTTGCTACATAAACTTTTACAAACACGTTAATAGACTAGAAGAGGTGGTCTTGGGCCTGATTCATGTGTACTCGAGTACAGTCTGCAGTGGGATGTGTGGGATGTTCAAAAAACGTATCAGCGCAGCCCGGGCCTGTTTCCTCCTCTGAGCTGCGAGGTACATGTGGTAGTAGGAAGAGGGTCGGTTTCAGCGTCTCAGAAATAACAAAAACATCCACAGCTAGCAGGATGGACTCAGCCCTCGAGTGGTTGCCATGGTTACTTCTTCTTTTTGCTTCTTGGTGGATTCACAAACCAGCTATGTGCATACTGCCACTTCCTGTATCAGACTGTGTTCATACAAAAGTGTACTCGGGGAACAGGACAGTGTTGCTAATGTGAACGCAGACCAGCGGAGGAGACGGGGGGGGGGGGGGGGCAATTGTGCGATCTCTGTTTTTAAGAAAGAAGCTTTAAAAAAAAGTCATATTTCAACCTAAAGAGAGACTGATAAAACCAAGTCGTTTTTGTCGTTGTGGCATCGAAACATTGAACGACATCATTTACATATTCACAAAACAATTCTGGTATGGAGACAACCCTAGTTTTTTTAATGTGTTTATGTTTTTGCGTCGGCCTCACTGAGAAGACCTAGGAGGCGGCGGGGGTCTCGGGGCTGGGTGTCTGTGAGAGAGTCAGCGGTGGCTTGAAAGTCGTGCAGGTGAATGAGCTCGTCAATGATGGACTACTAGAGTGAAGGGCAGTGGGGTCCGTGGTCTCCATGGCAACCGCTGACACCATTGAGCACTCGTACCCTTGGTTGTGTTTGGAAAATGTTCCTGACTCTTCAGTCACATCATTGTCAGCTGGGGAAACAACACAAACAAACAAACATGTAGATATTGAAATCACACAGTGGTGGATTTATCGTAGTTGTATGTAGTAACAATTAGAATTTACAATTCTGTCTGCAGAGATGAATGAAGGTTTTAAAATTGATTTCCTGTTACTGTCTCTGAGGAGCAGGAGGGACAGACAGCTCTCCTGGGACAGCCCATGCAGGGATGACCATTCCCTCCAACCCGCTTTCTACCACCATGTAGAACTGCAAGTTCATGAAGGAGTCCATTAGAAAGTTTATTAGTATTATTAAACATCTGTTTCTGTTGCTTAAATCTGAGTGACATCACGACTTCAATCGACCACATCTGTTTGAAGTCTGGACTGTCGTCTTGTGTTGAAGAATTTTTAAAGTTGACCTATCACGCTGAAACGAGGTGAACGTATGTTGAAGTAATTCCAGGAAAAGTCTGCAGAGGGCGCTAAAGAGCATGTTCTGTAAATCACGCCGTCAGTTTCCCGATTTGAAACCAAGAATCTAACGAGTCGGCTTCAAGCCTCGACGTAAGACTCTCTTCTCTCAGCACACGGGTCCACTTTGACTGACTGACTCTCTGGTCCGTTGGAGGACTGTTTTTCATTATATTTATTTATCTAGAGCGTGATGATGATTTTCTTACCCGGGGCACGCTGGTGGTGGTGCTCTCTGACGAGCTCTCATCCGTCACGCTGGTCTCGCTCACGTTATCCACCGAGGGTTGTTTGTGGAAGAACTTTCTCGTTCTGCACAGAGGACAGAAAAAACACATGAAATCCAAGGGTCAAACTAACTCAACTGAGGGATTAATAAATGGTATGGTTAACGATTCATGGTCGAGGTGATGACGTGGCTGAAATATTATCCATTCTAATTTAGCGTGGTAGAAAAAAATCAACCTGAGAATAATGTGTTGACAGAGTAATGCCCCGTACACGTATGGTATGGTAAACACCAAAACATCCATCCATCCATCCATTATCTAAACTGCTTTTCACGTTCGGGGTCAAGGGGCGGAGCTGATTCCAGCTGTCATTTGGCATTTCAATGGTCACCAGTCAGTGACATATAGAGACACACCGGTCAGACTTGGCTGTCAGCGTGAATTTTAACGCTGGCGTTAATCATGATGCATTTAAGGCGTTGATTTTTTAAATTCGCAATAATCTTGAAAAGAACTGACACCTCTGCGTCTTTGAATGTCTCATCTCAAATTAAAAAGCTCCCGGACGCCTGAGTTGACGAGTCCAAAGTCATAGTCCCCTTATGACATCACACATTACACTTTTTAAACCGCTCCCTTTAGCTGTTTGAATTTATTTTTCAATTCTTAACAAGTTCCTTTTTTCTGTGGTTAAAATGATGTCGTGAACTTAAGATCGACCATACGTTCTTTATTTTCTTTCAAAATAAAAGCAGGAAGCAAATTACCCTTAACTTAGGACAGCACGAAAATTCAAAATAAAAGCATAAACGGGATTTGTTTGCATGTTTTTTTTTATTGCTGTACACTGTCTGATACTTTACTTGTGTGTGTGTGTGTGTGTGTGTGTGTGTGTGTGTTGCAGAGGAAACGAACGAACTGTGTAAGTGCACTCGCACTCAAGTGCAGAAGGCAATTTGAGGCAGAGCTATTGGCGGCCATGTAGCGTTTCCACCGGGGTCATACCTCAGCGGCTCCATTCTGTAGCCGAGAAATGACCTATTTTTATGTGTAATTGCTGTAGAACAAGCTAAACCAAGCATGTAATTGAAAGCGTGCCACTTCCACAGGGGAGGCCGGACTGGGAACATTAGGATGTAGTCGGAGGAGGAGGGGGGGGGGGGGGGGGGGGGTTGTGCTTTAAGAGTCAAAAGAGTGGAGACTGCCAACAGCCTTGTCCATAAGGCAGAGAAACAACCATAAAACAAATCAGCTCTTTAGAGACGGCTCAGGTGGAAATAAGAGGGAGGAGGGATTCTCTATGTAGTGTACGAACGCCCCTCACTCAGCTAACCAGGGTTTGAATGCTGCCGTTCGTTCTACAAGTGATCTGCACCATGACCCCCCGCGGTCACACCGAGACACCAACATTACACGGCTCATACCACCCTGCGTTTGATAGACAGCTCTCAGTGCTGTCTATCTGTGCCGTCTCAAGCTTCCAGCCAGAAGAGTAAACATAACAGAGCTTATTTATGCACGGTGGTTGAAATGCATACACCAGAAAATACATCGAAATATATGATCATGTATCTAATCGAACTCTTCCTAGTTTTTTTCCATTTCTGTATTCACATAGAAAGCCCTTTGAAACACTTTAGGACCATGAGACTCTGTTTGATAACTGTAGCTGGATGGGTTTTCCTCGAGGTCGTTTGGTATCATCGTTGTTTATTTCTGTCTGCTATATACTTTTTTTTACTTTTAGCCTGGTATCCATTGTTTACTCCTTTCTTACCAGGTTAAATTTGCATTAGTAATTCATGCTTTGGGGGTAGTTAAATGTCTTTTAAGAGGGCATAATCGGATGTTATAAAATGTCCACATAGATATTTCTTTGGGGTACTGTGTGTCACTGTTTCCAAGCAAGGTACATTCTTCAATTACTTGATTTTTTTACTTTGTGTTTTATCATATTTCATGGACCTCCGTTTGTAACTCCTCCCCCTTCTCCCCTCTCACCCAAAGCAGTAGGTGACGCAGGCAGCGATGGAGAGCAGGGATACCAGGGCCACCATGCAGGCGGCGATGACTACATTTCTTCTCTTCTCCTCTTCGGCCTGTTGGAGCTCCCACCACTCCAGGTCACTGAACTGACAACGCTCGCCCAAGTAGCCTGACACACAGCTGCAACAGATTGAACAAAGTCACAGTTTTTTGCAGGAATAGTGTTCCCAAAATGAAATAATGACACCACTGACCAACTGTTAGAGTATAACCATTGCATCTCAGTCCAATGTTTAATGAATTGTGTTAATATAAAAAAGATTAGGGTCCTGACTCTTTCAACCACTCTGTCATGAGGAGGTGGGTTTAATCGTGTGAAAATAGTGACACCTGCTGTTGGAGAGCTGTAACTACCATGAGAGATTAGCAGATAGAAGCTGGCAGTGTGCAGGAAGTTTATAATAATAATAATGACTTTATGTCTGTAGGTCAGCATGCAAACTATTGGAGGTCAAGGGTTATACAAAGGGGGGTAAAGTGTGGGTGTTACTGACTTGCAAGCGTAGGACTCCATTTCAGGAAAGTAGAAGCAGACGCCCTCGTACAGGCAGTAGGACTCGTGGGTGGAGGGGCAACTCTCGACTGAGTTACTGTTGTGGTGCAGGGTGGTGACATCAGCAGGGCTCCCGGTCGTCACCGACGGCGATGTGGTCTCCAACTCTAGAGTGGAGTCGGGATAAAATTAGATTGAATGAGACAGATGTACAATACGGCAGCACTGTAACTAGTTCACATGTTGAGCTGCAGCAATATACAGTTATTTAAGTCAGGGGATCCCAACTTTTTAGCTTGCAACCCCCAAAATAAGGGTGCCAGAGAGGGTGTAAAAGGCAATGATGCACACAAACTAATAGACCAATCCAAACATTGGTAACACAAAATAATAAAACTGCCTAAAACCCTAAAATTAGACTTAAGCACTGAGTGGACACACAAGACATTAGAGACACACAGGTGTGTTCATCTGTGTAAAGAGCAGCACACACCTACACTGTTGCTTCACGTGCAAACTTACATTTTAAGTAATTTATACACGAGTATCATTTTCATTTCCCTTAATGATGTGGTTTTATTTGAAACGGGACTTCTTTTGTATAGAGCTTTTTAACTGTAATGGTGTTGGTTTTCTTGGAAGGCTTCTCGCGACACCCCTCTTCTAAAACTTGTACATGCAGTAAATCAAGCAGACACACCTTGACATGACTTCCCGTTGCCGTGGTATCCAGCTTGGCACTTGCATTGATACCTTCCAAGGTTATTTTGGCACTCTGCGTTTTTGCCACAGGTGTGCGTTCCCTGTTTACACTCATCGATATCTGAAACAAAAAGAAAAATCAGACGGACAGTTACATGAACAGTAAGAAGGTTTACAGATCTGCTGGTACATTTTAAAGCCTCAGCTAAAAAAAAAAAGCTTTCATTAATTTTTTCAAACATTTCAGTCAAACAAAGGAACGAATGATGATACAGAATTTCACTTAGACTCCTCTTGGGCAAATTCTTGGGTACTTTATTGCATCCATCACATGAATCTTGCACAATCTTGAAATACCTAGTTTACACTTAAAACTGTTCTGCAGAGTTAATGACGATATGAATATGTAGAATACGAAACTGCTGCAGTTGAGAAAATTAACGTGACTCTGCACTATTTGTAATCTTTCTTCACGATATGTTACTTTAGCCTTTTTATAGTACTAAAACAGATGGACTGACTCACCCACACATAACTGGCCATCACCTGCAAAACCCTCCACACACGAGCAGGTTGGGCTGCCAGCAATGAGCAGGCACTGTGCGTTTACATCACAGCGCAATGAGTAGCACTCATTCTGGTCTGACGGGAAAGAGGACATGAACCATAACATTTAGTGAAAGTTAGAGAACAGAGAGAGCTACCAGATATTCAGTGTGAAGGGTCAACTGTTACCTGAAACCATCTTGTCCGTGTAGAGAGCTGGCTCACTGCTCACATCAGAGTCTGACTGTCCAGGTGTGCTCTCATCGTTGAATGTTTTATTTTTGAGGGACGCTAAATCGTTGGATTCTCCGTCTCCAGATTCTGCATGATAAAATTCACACAGTTAGACGGTCAAAGCTTGTAGAAAAAAGTGAATGCAATGTTGCAGTATTTTATCTTCAAATGAATCACCTGCTGTCTTGTTGGAGGCGTCGGCAGGCGAACAGCTCTTTCCATCTGCTGATAGGACGTAGCGTGATAGGCAGGAGCAGTGGGCCAATCCCAGCTTGCTTTCACACACTTGGGCACAACCTCCATTGAGGTGGAGGCAAACGTCGGCACCTTCACATGAGGACACAAAGTGGCAATTGTTAACCAAAGGATTAGTGCATTTTTTGTACTTATTTACTTTTGATAGCGAACAAAATCTGAGCATTTATCTCAAACTCTCTACAGCCAAATTAAAAAATCTTCTGACACATGCAGAGGCAGCAGGGTATAACTATGATCGTGTATCATTTTATAATCCTTCCTCTCCTTGTTCAATTATGATCAATCCTCGTCGTGTCTGTACCTGGTTTAGAAAGAGGATGAACCACCACGACGGATGCTGGTTGGACCATGTTGACGTGGATACGCTGCAGGTTCTTCCCAGTACGCTTGTGTACGCTCCTCAGCTGCCGGTGCTCCCAATCAGATATCCACAACTTGTCTTCAAACACTGCAAGGTCAAAAGGTCGACCTGGACCAATCAGAATAGAAGAAAGAAGACCAGAGATGTGTTAAAGTTTTAAGGTAAGGTTGGAGTATTTGTAATAATGGTAATGTAGTCATCTACAGCAGTGGTTCTTGATCTGTTGGGTGAGACCCCCTGGTAGGGCAAAAGGGCCATGAAAGGGGCACAGATGTCCTAGTTAGGATGCGTCTGGAGGCGTGGTCAGAGCTCCCCTTGAAATGAGTTTTGCCACTCTAGGTGCTAATCCATGGTTGGCTCTTTACCCAGTCAAATGATTACTTTAATTTAAGTACTTGCTTTTAAAAATACTTATTTATTAAAACTACATCATTAAAATCTCACGGTGGTGCAGTAGTTAGTGCTGTTGCCTCACAGCGGGGAGGTTCTTGGTTTGAATCCCCATCTGACAGGAGCCTCTCTGTGTGGAGTTTTACATGTTCTCCTCGTGCATGCGTGGGTTCTGGCCCTTGTGGGTGTCATTGCTCAAAGAGGCCACACGAGGGTGTCAGTTTGCCAGCGCTAATCTTTTGTCAAGTACTGATTTACTGATCAATCTGTGGTTTGTTTGTAAATGTTTGCATGGTCTGGGTAGACTGTGGAATGGAATTTCCCTCTGGGGTGAATAAAGTTTTCTAAGCCTAATTCTCTCCAGGTACTCCGGCTTCCTCCCACAGTCCAAAGACATGCTCGTTAGGTTACCTAGTGACTCTAAGGGTGCATCTGAATTGTCCCTCTTATCTCCTTTCACTATCCACTTTACCTTAACCCCACGAAAACGTCATGAGGTCAAGGAAAGATGTTAGGAGAATTCATAAAGGATTTAGGGAAAGACGATCTCATTGCTCTGACAATCCGGCCACATTTTCCACTAGGCCACGTCATTAAATGTGACGGGCCGGCGGAGGTTAATGATGTGGGTCTGCCGTGTTGAAACTACAATGTTCAGAAAATGGACTACAAAAAACGCATCTAAAAAACTCTTTCAGTACCTTCTTACCGGTGAAATAATCCTGATCACCACAAGGTTGGGATTGAAATAAAATAAATATAGAATACCAGGCTACAAGTAAGAAAAGTGAAACCTTCAGCTTCCTGTCCAATCAGAAATCAACATCAACATAAATATGAAATTAATTGTTACATTTATGCAAGACAAGAATGTACAACTGAAGAAATGCACAAAACATTCTGAATTGAATGAAATATGTTGAATAAAACATCATCTGATAGAAATGTCTCTTATCTTTTTATCTCTTTCATGATCTGAGTCACTTTACAATCATCGTTAATATTCCTGAACGGTCGGATGAGTCGCTTTAAATGTTGCGGCCGCAAGGAATTGTGGGGCGTCATATCTCATCTCCTTTTGTAAAGGATGGTCCAGTGTATCCTATGCTAAAGGAGGTTATAAAGGAAGCATTGATCCACCTTTCCTTAACTTTTAGAGAATTCGAACGGCTCTTATCATGGCCGCCACTTAACTGCTTCCGGGGTTAAGGTGAAGTGGATAGTGAAAGGAGATAGGAGGGACAATTCGGATGCACCCTAAATTTTCTGTAGGTGTGAATGTGAGTATGGCTGGTTGTCTGTCTCTATATGTCAGCCCTGTGATTGACTGGTGAACAGTTCAGGGTTTAACCCCGCCTCTCGCCCAATGACAGCTGGGATCAGGTCCAGCCCCGCGCGAACCGAATGGGAAAAAGTGGTATAGATAATGGATGAATTGTTGTATTTCAAAATGCAAGAGTGCAGTCGAGAACATTCCTGTCATTTTCCCGTAATGTAAAGAAGGTAAGTGCTTTTTACTAAATCATGACTCGTATTTATCGGACTGTAGAAAGGTGTTTGTGTCTGCAGGTTCAAAATGAAAGCCTCTGCATTGGTACACCACTCAAAGTGCAGGGACCAGAGTTAAGCTTCTTCACGGTTTATTTCTTTTAAAACACTCATCAGGACCAAACCAATAAATAAAGTGTTGAACTCGGCCATCACATAAATGAACGGTAACAACCTAAACAAACAAAGTACTCTCAAACGATGCACCTGATGCAGTCAACAGTGGGAGTAGTCAGAAACCTGACGTGCAGTACATCATGCTGCAGCAAACAAAGAGGGTGAGCGTGGCCTGCTGCAGACATCTTAATTACTTAAGTACATTTGCATGTTGATATGACGCTTAGAATGGAAACGGATAATAAGGTCTGGAATTACAATAAAGTAAACTTAAAACATGTATGTGTCTCAATAGCCTCACCTACTTGGTTCTCTAACAGGACCCGACGATCAGAGCCATCCAGGGCAGCGGTCTCCACCAAACCCCTCCTCTGGTCACACCAGAAGAGATGATCATCGGTGAAATCGATGGTCAGGCCGGTTGGTGATACAAGGTTGGTGCTAGCAATGACAACACGGTCAGTCCCTTCCAATGAGGCACTCTCCACAACAGGCTGGGCCCCCATATCAGTCCAGAACAGCTTCCTCAAAAAGTAAAGAAAAAAGCGTTCTTAAACCCTGTTTCCACCAAGCAGTCCAGTTTGGTTCAGTATAGTTTTGTACGGTTTGGTACAGTAAACCCTGATCTTGTTTGCGTTTTCACAGCCAACTGTACCCTTACACATCACCAAATCACAGCGCCGCGACATAGTGTAGACGGCCAATAAATCCAACAAAGAAGAAGAACGTGACACAGTAAAAAAAGATCAATGATTCATCGGAAGGTCTGCATCTCCGAGGCCAAAAACAAAAACAGCCTTGATATGACTCTGTGTTTGTCCTTTATTACTGCTGTAGCACAGGAAGTAAAGATTCTTTCCACCAATCATCAGACCGCCTTGTGTCTAACTTCAACCTTTAGGGTCGGATTTGTACGCTTGGCACCCCAACAGAAGTTTACCAAAAAAGTAGGATTGTACGGATCCATTATTTTAGTACCCTTTCCAACTTCTGACAGTAGAAACGCCAACAAAGATGTTCTGTACCAAACCAAACTGAACTGGACTGCTTGGTAGAAATTGGGCTTTAGTCTACCTTAGATTCATTGAAAATTGAATAATAGTTGGTGGAAATATTAAGCTGCTCTTCAAACACAAAAAAGATGTCACATATTGTTTGCAGCCACACTTACTTTGCCAAAGGATGAACTACAATTCCTCTTGGTTCCTCCAGCCCTTTGCTTACAAGAGTTTGCCTGTTAAGTCCAGCCAAGTTACTGCAGTCGACCGTTGCCTGGCTGGAGGACAAAAATATACAGAGGTGTAACACAAAAAAGCAGAAACCATTTTAACCTTGCTTTTCCCTCACATAAAGACTTAAGAGCAACTGTCAGCCACACTAATGTCCATGCAAGATTACTGCAAACACCACACACCTTTTATCAGTCCAGTACATCCTGCGGTGGACCCAGTCCAAAGCCAGTCCTTCAGGAGAGTCCAAACCATCAGACACAAGAACGTCTCTTGACCCGTCGTTCAAATCAACACGCTCAATCGTCTTCTGCCTTGTGCTTGCAAAGTACACCTTCAAAATGCATGAAAACAAAAATTGCAAAACATACATTCATTTAAAAAATATATATAAGCAGTATAGCATTTAATGTTACATGTTGCAACTGTGAAAAAGTAAAAAGCAATGCACATCATTTATCACAGACAGGGTATCACATTACCCTGTGTGTCCACTAGGTGTCACCAGCTGTCTTCTACAAAACCTTTAATCATCACTCAATGGGGAAAACCATCTCCTTAAAAAGACTCATGAGTACACACTTCTATTGTGCAGCTCATGCTTCTAAAACTGCATCTTACATGATTCTGAATCGGGTCGTAGTCCAAAGCAATAATTGTTCCTCTGGGATCCTGGACAAGGGTTCGATCCCCAGAGCCATCGGGATGAATTTGTCTCACATCCACTAGATTGGCAACTAGTAGATAAGGCGGTGGTCCTGAAGAAGAAGAAAAATGTTCCATTTCAAGATGAGATGTAATGTAGTTCATGCTTTACCACTCACCTCATGCTTTACATATATAACCCACTAATCTTTACCATTAAATCACAGAATGTGTTGTGATGAAAAGATGGGAAGATGTATATCTATAAGGGCTTATCAGCCTCAGATGGCTGCTGTGCCATTGTTTATGACTCACCTGAGGCAATGCAGCGCTTGCTGTCTTGGTGGAGCTGATAGCCTGGTAGACAGCTACACTGCCACCTACTCGGGGTCACAGGTGTGCACATCTGACTGCAACCCCCGTTGTCTGGGGATGAGCAGCCTGCAACAGCGGAGAAGACTGTGTTCATGCAGAGTCAGTTTTCAGCCGTGATTGTCTACCAGACCTGTCTCATATCTGTCAAGCTGTAATGCAAAGCCACTAGGTTAATGCCCTGCTGTGCTGCTAGGCTTACCTCAGATTGACCACTTTGATCCCATGCTTAATTGCAATATATTTACATTATATTAACATTGAATATAATGTAGTAGCTACAGTGTCTATTAGCTTTCTCATTCAGCCAAAAGGAACATTTACTCTTGCTTATTGGTCTGGAGTTCAGTGCATCGCTTGTTTGTTTCTTCCATATGTCCTCCCTACTTCTTTTTTAAGTGCCGCTAAAGCTGTAGTACAAAGGAAAGCCTAATGAAGACGAGGCTTGTCCCTGGTTAAATTAAGGATATTTATCCTCACACCAATGACAAAGGCCAGTCTGAGATCAACACTCATCCGGCTTCTCGCTCCGCTTTTGTTCTTAGCGTCCGCTTTTAACTTCTTCCGTTAACCTTTATCCCTTCTTTTCCTTTGCCGAGAATACCGAGCTAAGACCAGGAACAGGAAAGTTTCCCTTCAGAGCTTTCTGCCAATGTTGTAAAGCATAAAGCACCCTAAATAGAGATTGTTAGTCCTTAAAGCAAATTGCATAATGCAAGATAATGTGTTTGGGGCCCCATTGTTCCTTTAACAAGTCAGTTGATGTTGTTATCTTAAGTGGGTTCAATCAGTTGTATCTATTACACATACCGGTACAAGCCTGTCCATCCTCCTGCAGTATAGACCCGTCAGGACACACACAGACAGCACCCTCGTCTGTGATCAGGCATCCATGGCCACACTTGGTGATGTTACTTTCGCACGCTGTGATCTCTGATGGTGGACAAAAAAGCTAATTCTTAAACACCGTTAATTCCCATTGTGAAAAAAAAATTATGAAGGCAGCACTCACACTCCGTCAAAATAGGTGAAAGTGTGTGAGGAGAACGCAGTCAAAGCCCACACAGTGAGAGTGATGTAATGTTAGCTCGCACAAGAGTGGTATCTCCTCTACCTGTGAATATGTGCCAGGTATACGGAGGCAGATAGCGATATGAATCTGATGTGAAATAGTTAAAGAACGTACTGTGCTCTGGCCTACTAACATCTCTGCAACGGTGGAGAGTAAAAATTGTTGCATGAGCTATCCAGCCTTTTTGAATGTATACAGTTTTATTTTGGGGATAAAGTCCAACATTTTTAAATCATGAAATCGATACTGTACCTTGAACATTAAAGGTCACATATTCTCCTCCTCTTCAACCAGTGTAAATAAGTCTCAGAGCTCCTCAAAACATGTGTGTGAAGTTTATTTTTCTAAATCCACTCTGATCCTGTATTTGATCATGTCTATAAACCCCTCTATTTCAGCCCTGCTCAGAACAGGCTGTTTCTGTGTCTGTACCTTTAAATATGTAAATGAGCTTGTCTGACCACGCCCCCCTCTCTGGAAGGGCTGCGGTGGCTCTGGCTTTCTTGCTCCATGTCCTAATGTTTACGGTGAGAAGGCAGACTCAGAGGACAGAACAAACACCTAGCTGTGGGAGTGTCACCCACCTGGGGGAGGGGCTACTGCCTTTTGTGATGTCATGAAGGGAAAATCTTCAAACGGCCTGTTTGAGCACACATTTTCTGAAAAGTGGAGCAGGCTAAAGACGGAGAAGATGGCCTTTTCTCATCTTTGGGGGGTTTATAGACCGACTAGGGACACATATTAGTGTCAGAAAAACATGGTGAAATGTGACCTTTAAGAAACAAGAATGTATTATCAGTACATTTGAAAATCGATTATGAAAACATATGCAGGAACTATTTTTTAAAAACTTTTAAAAAGACTCAAGCCACGCGGCTACACCTCCTCCATGCGGTCTGTTGTTGATGCGTTCATTGTCTAGTCTGCTACTTGGCTGCGTGTTTGTTCCCTCCTGGACCTTGGCAAAGGTTGTCTGCTAACCAGCTTAGACGGACAAAGCTGCTGACCAGATATGTTCCCTATTGCAAATGTCACCTCGTCATTTAATCTCGTCGTGTGTGAGCCTGTCCTGTTCTCTTGGCTGTGAGATTAGAAGAGAAGAGATTACGGTGCGTCCATAATATGTTTGAAAAATGAATGAATTATTGTTAATCACTATTAAGTGACCAGAAAAAAAGATAAGAAATCTTTGACATTTCTTGGGTTTAGCTGTTTAAGATGTCTGTACATTCCCTCAGGACGGCAGTGCATATGTTTGTGCAGAAATATTAAATTGTCTGAGGTATTTGTTCACATTTAAAGAATGTGTTGTTTGTTGGCAGACAACAGAGCTGCATTAAGGCAGAAAGAGGTGACCAGACACTGACTGAGTTGGAAGAGCTCAATAACATATCTGACATTGTGAAATAATGGAGGTATTGCTTTACAATATGTTTTAGCATTTTTAAGCTGATATCTGGTAGATGGCCAGTAAATACACATGTCTGTTTCGAGAAACAAATGAAGATGAACCTTTACTTTAACACAATAACCCTGCTTCGGTCTACCTAACACAGCCCTCAGTCTCAGCACGACAAGACCTGTAGTGACAAAGTGTCAGTGTTTTAAACCCTAAGTAACCTAACACACAATTGACAGCTCACATATGTCTGGTCTGGTGTGTCTAGCCGATGACCCAGCCTTTTTATTGGCTCTGTGGGGTCAAAGTAGTGTCTGGGGGACAAATGCCACCCTTCAACGCCCGAAGAAGAAAGGATCCGATGTGAAACCAGGGGCACATTCATTATCATGTTCAAAAGAAAGTGCAAGTGTTGTCACTTTGCAAAGACAAAAACTAAATGTTTCCAATCTTTCTAATGCTACAGCACAGAACGGCTTGGACAAAAATACTGGTTGTGTGTATAAATGGTTGAATAATGTACAACATGAGTAAGCACTTTGGATAAATGTGTTGTATTACTGCGGTCCATTTACCATTCAACATGTAGGATCTGTTTTACCCACATGAAGGATTACACTGCAGCTTGGTATTAAAATGAAAACTAAATGACTGCCAATTCTCATCAGACAAAGGAAGCAGTCAGAACAGTGTTACATTCACAAATGTGCTTGACATGATTTTAAATGTTAGTTTGTTTGTTAGGTATTAAAGCTACAGTATGTGACATTATTTCATTAAAAGTTATCATTGCACTGGATGGCATTGTCACGAACGATATTAAAGTCAAATGTTCCTAACTAAAATGGGTGTCTGATTGGTGACCTGCCTTGTATTTAGTTTTTTTATTTTAGTTTTTATTTTAAACTTAACAGGTCTGAACTGAACAAGCAATCAATATTTGCTTTCTTGGAACCAGCCAATCACAGCAACCCTGGGAGGAGAATGTTCAGGTTGCAGACAGATTGCATCAACAACGGTTGTCTGCATGCCAGTGTAACGTTTATGTGCATACTGTCACTTCATACTGTCACACCTAACTGTCAGTTAGGTGTGTTTTAGATATCTCCAAGTGCTCATTAATGTCATTAAGAAAACTTGAAAACAATGTAAAGAAGTCATGGCCTTGTATCAGCAGCAGCTCTACACTTGGAAATTGTAGCCGTCAAAAAGACAAGTCAGACTTGCATTTCCTCCGCCAGTGTTGTTGACAAAGCTGATATCAGAAGTCCCGCCCCTTCATGATTTTGATTGATTGGTGAGAGGGAAGTGACATTGGCGAGCGTGGCACTGTTCTGAAAGTTGAATTTAATTCAACTGAGAGTGCTGAGTGCAGTGACAAAGTTCAGTTTGTACTGATACAGAGGGCGTTTTAGCGCTGAGGATGGAAAGTGCTTAAAAAAACTTGAACTATATTGGTTTTGTATTGAAAACGGTGCCACCAGCACAAAAAATACTGACTGTGGACGCAGGCCCTAAGCTGATTCTTTAAATGTCCATTTCTTTTCTTTTTACCATAGGTTGTTTATTGAATCAAGACAAAAGGCTTTTAAAAACAAGTAAACTATAGTATGTTAAATACATCTGGATTAACATAGTAACAATACAGAATATTTTTCCACTTTACCTTGACATGTCTTCCTGTCAGGTAGGAGGGCGTATCCTTGAGGGCAGGTACAGAAATATGAGCCTGGGATGTTTTCACAGCCAAGAGAGCAGCCATGGTTCCAGTGGGCACATTCATTCACATCTATGATTCATACATGGACAAAAAATTATTATTAGTTTCTGTGTAATTAAAGTACATACAAGTGTAGCAGGACATTTGAAGGAGCAATATGTAAAATATACACTGAATTAAATGATTAAATTACTTTACTATCTGATCAGACATTAAGGAAACATGCTATGTTGAAGTGCTGGCTTCTCTGACAACAATGCAGCAGCCAGTATGTCCTCCTTCTAACTTTAGATTCTGCTCCTGAATGCTCTGGATTTGTTTGGACCAGAGAAGGTAGGCGCTTTTAAGACGACCCCCACATGGCCGTTTTGGACGCCCCTCGGTTTGCCAGATATGAGAGCAGTTATCACGTCAACAGGTGTTGCAGCGATGGAAGCGGGCAAGAGAAGTGGTTCAGATAGAAGTGATTGTACCCGACCTAAAAAGCCTCTGCATGTTTCTAATAAGCTCCACGAGCAGAATCGTGCTCAAACTAGGATCAATATTGGAGATGCTTTTGAAAAATGGAGAGAGGTTAGAACACAGAAAGGTTTACAGACCCATGCAGAGCTGGATAAACACTGAAGCTTCAGAGTCCACCACATGGTGACCTGAGTGAACATCCACTCTAGAGAGGAGGGGGCGGGGGGGAGACAGCTCTCTACAATGTTTAGAATTTGGACTGCAGTACCCATTTTAAACACTAGGATGTCAGATTTACATATTGCTCCTTTAAACACCCGTACATTTTAATTTATTTTAAAGACTACACTTTAACTGACTGGAAACAAACAATTTGTGGCCAATTCATTTCCAAATAATTGATTAAATGCCTTTGATACCAACCTTCACAATGAGTTCCTTGCTTGCTGAGAGCAAAGCCCTCGTTGCACTTGCAGGTCCCTTGCTGGGCCAGACTTGAACACACGTTTACACAATTTCCACTCTGTTCATTGCAACCTGTTTGAAAGGGTTTAAAGTAATTAAATGTTTATGTCTAAACATGTAAAATATATATTATACAAGTCATGAAAAGTCAAGGTCCAATCTTGACCTGGAAATGTTGATTGGGAGTCTCCCATTGGTTGGTTGAGGGGATGTACGACCTTTATATCCACCGGGGGTTTTCCCATTGGTTTAATGTTAACACTCAGTGATTCTCCACCAGTGTTCTTATCTAATTGTTTTATAATCCGAGATGTAGCATCAGTGTAGTATAAGTGCTCCAGAAAAATAGATATCCCAAGTGACTGAGCCCTGACCAAAGGAGAGAAAACATTGTGCTTTATACCAGTTAGCTTATCAGAAAGTCATAAATGGGAGCATAAAGAAGTGAAACAAGTAGAACATGCTCACCGAAGTGGCTGATCCATGATGTGCAGGACGTTCCCGTTGTAATCACAAGAGGCAATGGCACTTTCTCCTTGCAGACCGAACTGAACCCAGAAAAGTCTTTTGTCTTCACGGTCAACTGTCAGTGCTTTCAGTTGTTCTGCCATTTTAATAAGCATAGTTTTCCTCTGTCCTGTCAGGTCAGACCGCTGGATACTTGGAGTTATCCCACCAGACAGCCAAAACAGAAACCTGAAACATGTTTATTTAAAACTGACAAATCATTGAAATGAAATATTCTCAAATGCATTCATATTGTTTACAAAGTAATGTTGCCACTGTTTGTGTTTTTTGTAGAGAATATTGAGGCCTCCAATCATGTCACTTCATACTGAAGATTTGAAAATAATGCATATATGGGATTTGAAACTAATATGTGTCCCTACAAACCCCCAATCACGAGAAAAATCCATCCTCTCAATCTTTTGCCTGCTCTACTTTTCAGAAAATGTGTGCGCTAACAGGTTTGGAGATTTTCCCTTCATGACATCACAAAAGGCAGTAGCCCCTCCCCCAGGTGGGTGACACTCCCACAGCTAGGTGTTTGTTCTGCCCTCTGAGTCTGCCTTCTCACCGTAAACAATAGGACAGGAGAAAAGCACCGAGTCACTCAAGCCCTTCCAGAGAGGGGGCATGGTCAGACACAGCTCATTTACATATTTAAAGGTACAGACACAGAAACAGCCTGTTCTGAGCAGGGCTGAAATAGAGGGGTTTATAGACATGATCAAATACAGGATCAGAGTGGATTTAGAACAAGAAACTTCACACACATGTTTTGAGGAGCTCTGAGACTTATTTAAACTGGTTGAAGAGGAGAAGAATATGTGACCTTTAATCTTGACTGGGTAAGCACAGAAATGAATTGATAATCGAACCCTTTAAATAGAGAGCTGGTCTAGTACCTCCTGTATGGGGTTACATGATCTAACACTTCACATCTCTTGTTGAAAAGGACGATAACATGTGACCATTGACATCAACATTTAACATTTTTGCATTTTCTAATCAAAAATATTTTCCATAATCATTAAGCCTTATATTTTGGTAATGTTACATTTAAATGTAAGGTGCTCCATTGGCATATATAGAAATTAAGTTGGAAGTCATTCAAAATATGCTCTTGGTAATGTAATGTCATTGAATAATGTTACAAAGCATAAGCATAAAAACAGTTCGCTGCTATTAAATAGCCATAAAATGGTGGAGCATACTGCTTAGTGAAAATAAAACCGTCTTTGACCAGACCGACTGGGGGTATGTTAATGTCAGTCAGTCATTTTGCACCTTTGTGCCAGACATGCCTGATGGAGGGAGATGGAGCCTTTATAGTAACAGAGATACATCATGTGAAAATCTGAACTATGTGATGAGCTGTTGAGAATCATTAGTCAATTCCAGCTAATCTTTCAGTTCAGTTTTTTCTCCCAGTTGCAACCTGCTTAATCTGGGAAAGAAGCACCCTCATGAACAAAACAAACAAACTCAGAAGTGAAATGCAGATTGAATTACCTTCTAGTTGGGTCGACAGTAATAGAACTGGGTTGGGTTAGGTGTCTTAAAAGAGTTCTTTCATTTTTCCCGTTTAAATCCATTCTCTTGATTTTTCCCTTTTCTCCACTTGTCCAGTATACGCTGTTTGAAATCCAGTCCACTGCAAGGCCCGAGATATTTTTGTCAGATGAGTACAGTTTCTGATAAAAACAAAAAAACAAACAAATCAAAATTTTGTTTTTTGAGCCTTAGACCAAACTTAATAAAACTAAGGATCTTACTTAAAGGCTTTTTTATACTCCAGCAAAGTTCTCTTTAGGTACATAATCACCTGTCTATGTGCTCCTCTTGCTGATGCTTTGTAGATGACCCCTGTGTGTTGGTCCGCCCAGTAAACTCTCTCATCTCTGAAGTCATAGTCGAGAAGGATAGAGCTTCCCACCCCAGCCACAAGCCGCCTTTGGTTTTTCCCATCAAGATCCATCCGATGAATGGCTTTGCCATGGCCAAATATCAAGAAGGGCTGTGAAGCTTAACAAAACAAAACATCACACTTATTTCATGAATCCTATGCATTCCAATAGTCTCTGGCCCTGAAGGGGCCTAGCCCAACATTTGTCAACAAAGTTTCCTTCGTACCTGCCACTCAGTCCCAACGACTACCTTTATAATACATTTTAATTGATTAAATAAGAGTAGGGCTGAAGCATCTGAATATTTTCTTTTCTGATGAATATCACAGTTACTTTCCTGTTTAAACATTAAAGGGGACATATTATGAAAAATCCTCTTATTCAGTGTTGTTGAACATATATCTGGGTAACGTGAGAGTCTACTGACCCACAACATGTGAAATAAACCCACCCAGTCCTTTGTTTGTGGTCTGCATAAGTCTAACAGCACAGAGAAAAATGCTCTGTTTCAAATGTACTCTCCTTGTGATGTCACAGTGGGATTCTGTTAAAAAAAATTAACTCCCCTCCCCTGGTAGCTCCACCCATGGACTCCACCCCCAGCCTATAGCAAAACTTTTGAGAAGGTCGGCCACTTTTATTCTCGCTAGTGAAGGAGTGATGTCTACGAGGAAAACTCAGGGGGGGGGCTCATTAGATTTAAAGAGACACACACACCAAAACGGAGTGTTCTGAGAGAGCTGGTTTATACAGGGTCACAAACCTCCTCTGGTGCTTGATTCATGTTAGATTTTGACCAAAGCACAGCACAGATGTTTCATTTAGACCACAGGGGGACTGTTTGAAAAGGTGGAAAATGACTATAATATGTCCTCCTTAAAGGATTTAATATTTAATTCTGACACCTATTGTTTTAAATGGGTACTGCAGTCCAAATTCAAAACATTGGATAGAGCTGTATCCCCTCCCCCTTCCGCCCTAGAGTCCATGCACATGCAGGTTTCAATGTTGCGGACACATTGTTGTCACAGAGATCAGCACTTCAACATAGCATGTTTCCTTAATGTATGATGATATAGTAAGGTAAATTTATGATTTAATTAAGTAGATATCTTACATATTGGTCCTTTATGTGGATACATTATTGAGTCGCAATTCACAGAAAAGGTGAGAAGAGAGAACTTGTCTTTTTGCATCCAAACAGACCAAAATGTTACTGAATTATTTTGTAGGACAACTCATTAATTAATTGCCTTCACTCCATCTCCATCTGAATATAGGTAAAATAGATAGAGGGTTTAGTCTGTGTGTCTCTTTTTCAATCTACATTTACTAACTGGAGTAAATAATCATACTTATTTCTTTGAGTATTATTTTGAATTGTGCACTAAGAGTGACAATGCTACTATGTGCTTGTTATCAGTTTAACTCAGTAATTCTTGGGGAAAGGACGGTAACTATGGCAGGATTTAACATTTCAATAGCAGTATTACTCTTTCTCTTTTAGTCATGTTGCAGTAGAAGTAAAATTTGTCAAATTAAAAATCCTTTTCATGGCTGGAATGAGATTAATCTTGAAACAGACATAGCTGCTGTTTTTGAATGAAACATGTTTCCAGAGCAACAAATAGCCCTTTCGTTGTCCTTTAACTCTGATAATAGTACATGCTAATGGTGGAGGCTGAAGTAATGTTTGTTTTATCACAGGTTCCTGCTTTAGGAAAAAACAAACATCTAAATAAAGTTGCAATGGGATTAATGGAAGTCTTTTCCAGCATGTCTGTTGTTGGGAACACTGAATACGTTTTTATTATACAAAGATATGGTTGACTTTGGAGCCCGTTACTGAACCAGGCTACGAGACCAAAACAAATCTTGGCTGTCTGGATTAGTATTGATGGAAGGTCTATCATGGTAATCACTCTGCCATGAGCCACCATGGATACTTCTCTTAACTCTGTGGAATGAAGCAAACAATGAGCAATGCCAGACAAAAAACATAATGAAATGTATGTCCCCAAGATGGCCAGTGGTTTCCAGTTGCTAGGAGACGTCCTTATGAATCATTAACTGACAAGTTCACATGTTGGTCAACGTGGTTCTTGACCTACTAAACTAGGCTTGTTGGATGTTGTTGGAAAACGGGTACTTCCAAACCAACATTTCAAATTCTACACAAAAACAGAGTAGTGCGGGGTGCTTGATAGCCTAGAGGTTATATCAGGGCCCCATGTAAAGAGGCTATAGTCCTCATCGCAGCGGCCATGGGTTTGAATCCAACCTCGGCTTTTTACTGCCTGTCACCCCCCACTCTCTCTCCTCCCAACACTTCCTGTCTCCCTTCAGCTGTCCTACCCTATAAAGACAAAAAGGTCCGAAAGAGAACTAAAAAATATAGATTTTAATTTTTTTTCTGTCTCAAAATCTTTCAAAACAGGGGCTCCTGATGCACCGTTAAACAATCAATATCAACATCGATTTCCCAATTTAGATTATCAGATTGTTCCCAGCAGTATGATTGGTTATTATGGATGTGAAGCCTTTTAATAATATCAGCTTTTTAAGTTCTAACAAACACATGTTCGAGTGTTGAGCTGTGAATTAGTAATTTAACTCTGAATAAGGAAATCATTGTTGGGCATTAAGACAACACATAGAACAAGACAGTTCTCTACTTCAACCAAGCAATTGTTGAACTTTAGCTTTTGATATTCTTTGCTGTAGACAATTTGAAAATTTATTACAGAGGAATGATGCGACTTTCATGAGGAGTAAAATGTTAAGAAACAAAGGTGACAAGCAAGAAAAGGCAAATTTATCTATATTGCACTGCTGTTGCAACAATGATATTCAAAGTGCAAAGCCAGTATAAAGATGAGACATACAAACATCAGTTTATTAGAAATATTTAAATAGCTGGGTCGATTTATGTTACACATAAAGCAGAACTCAAGTCTCTCCTGTGTAAATGTGTCTCTGAGTCCTGACTGTCTACAATGAGGGAGAAGCTCGAGTCCCGCTGGCTGTGTTGTTGTCAGAGCCGTGTTTACATGGACGGGACGGCCGGCTCCTCCCCTTGTGTATAAAAGCTGTTTTAGTCAAGAACTAGAGAGAAGAAGAAGAACATACTCACTGATTATTTAGATGTCACATAAGTGTTTTTAGATCACGCTCATTCTGTGTCAATTTATGTGCAATATGAAGCTACGAGCTAACTAAAGAGCGCTAACATTAGCATGCTAACACAACAATGCAGGACACAGGTGATTACAGCTCGAGCAAAGGACAATTATGTCCACCGCTTGCGCTCAGCTCTTAATTATGGTCGTTCTCATTCATAACTACTTTGTGCGAGCGCGAGTGGAGAGGGGTTGGAGGTGTATTTCTGGAGGAGAGTGGAGGATTCAGTATGGCGGAGGTGTGGCCAAACAGCAGTTTGTTTTGGTTTAATGCTGGTAATATAATTTAAACGTACTAGTGAAAGGGTTTTCTTGTAAAAGGTTTTGTTTGATAAGATACAGTTGCATCAGACACCTGTTCTGGTCTGTATAATCTTGTGATTCATAAACAGTATATATATATATATATATATATATATATATAGAGGTAAATTATTCATATAATGTCATTTATTAGGATATCATTTTCATGTTACTCCAGTGTGTTATTTATATTGTTTTTGTGAGGGGAGAAATCGTTAATGTAGATCGAAATAAACTTCTTCTACTACTACTTTAAAACAGCACAAGATTAACAGGCCAGGTACATTAAAGAGTTAAAGTATGGATCAGATATCTCATCATTAAAATAGCCACAAATAGAGATCTCCATCAGGTTATTTTAGCTTCATTAGAACTCTCTATAGAGTGACTGGAAAATATAATCGTAGAACTTAATATCCATGTCATCCACCCCTGCTGACAGTCCCGATGAAGAGAGAGAAGAGAAGTATTTTAGTTTCTATTCCTGGATATGTAGAGAAATGTTGTTAAATGCAACTTCAGTTCATCACCTCTTTTTTTTTTTTAGAGGACCATTTAGGTCCCGCCAAGTATTTAATGGATCTTTGTTGACCAGTGTTGTAATACCAATCTTTGAACAACATGGTGCAGACTAGAAAAGAGATAACTCTGCTGTTGTTGCCACAGTATGTGCTGCTTCAGGCCGGTGGAGGGCCATTTGTCAAACAAGGCTCCAGCTTTCAGAACCCATATTCATACACATCCATTCTGCCGGAGCTGAGAAGAAACTAAACCATCTGAAAAAGTAATGTTCAGTAAACTATGACCTTTTGACCTCTCTTTGGACGACATAGAAGAGTGACAAGAATCCCTCTATGGGATTACCCAAGACTAAGTACTTCTGAGAAAGACAAACACTCTTCTTATCTATCATGAAAAAAAAAAGAAAATTCTCCAAGATGACCATTTGGACATCAGTATTCATCATCTCTAGGCTGTCATGGGAGAGGCTCTGGTGGCATCCCACAAAAATCTTAGACTCAGCATGAGATACACCCACTCCAGAACTGGCCAGTTTACTGTACTTTTACAGTGAATTGTATTGTCTGCTTAGCCAAGATTATTTTGATGACCGACTTATACCTTCTGTTTCTCTGCTGTGACATGACATAGGCCACTTCTTGAATTAAGAGAATGGTGTATACAGTTAAAAGTTTTGAACCAACTCACCTACACAGCTGCTGTTTCTCCCCGCTCGCAACAGGCGTTCGTCCCAACATGCTGTACCCAGGGCCAAGGCTCCAGAGCTTTGCACCACAAAATAGATCAGAGCTGTTGTGATTGCTGCAGCCAACATAATCCTGGGAGCCGTCCCTGCCTTGGGGAGCTGCACTTGTTCAATTCTTCTCAGGCATTCCCACTTGCATTTCCACTGGCACACAAGAATTCTCCAAAACTAAGCAACATTTGTGTATAGACTGCTGGCATCTTTTTCCACGGCTTTGAACCAAGAGAGACACGGGAGCTTTACATACCAGAAGATGTCGCCCTAAAGAGAGACGTACCCCAACGAGGAGATGGAGCACTAAGAGAGAAAGAAGAGGGCAATACTGATAACCCAAAAAGAAAAAAAAAACTGTGTGTGGGATCCTGCTCACTCCCCACTTTGGCCTCTACGCTGCCAGTCTGTTTTGGAAGCAAAGATTGAAATTCCTGACACCCCCGTGGTAAATTTTGCACATGCTAGTCCAGCACTGGAGCAAGATCTTCTTCAAGCTGCAGTCAGTGTCTGACGCAGAATGTGGAATATGTAAAAATTGAGGCTGGACTAAAGAGTGGTTCCACATAACAACAACATCTTACCCTCACTCCACCCCCTGACCCACGTCCTTTCTCAATGTGGATGGATGTGTCTGTTTGAGACAGAGTCTTTGTGTCTGGAAAAAAGAGTGACTGGGAGAAGGACACTGCATGTCAGGCTATGTCTGACCAAGCTCAACACTACAATATGAATCCATTCATTCATTGGCCAACTAAGATGACCCTGGTTCCTTTATCAAATTATAGCTCCATTCATAAATGGCACAAATTTACAGTATGAGTTTAATTTAACTATGCCCCTGAAACAATAGACTCTGTTTTCATCTTGAGTGTAAATGATACGTCAGTGTGTCCCTCAATCTACTGCTGAAGTTTGTTTGGCTTCCGGGGGGAAACGGTCAAATGAGTAACTTATAGAGAATGTAGAGCAGATTAGTCCTAAATTGTTTGTCCTCTTTTTGTTACGCTGGAGAACAACTAACAGACCCCAGTAACCAAAACCTCTATTCATGCCCTCCATGACTAGGATATTGTGAGCAGCAGCATCACCATTAACCTCGTAGACAAGCAGTATATGATTTATATGGCTGAGAAAGTTGCCTTGTCTCCATGCTAATGTTAGCAGTCTGAAGGCCACAAAGCTTTTCCCACGGTGTATACCAATGGCAGTTTGACTTCACGTGAATAGTGTGCTGAATCACAATTAAACATGACTTTGAATCATCTGTAAAAGAAAATAGAGGCTGCTGCTTTGTTAATTGCCTCCTCATGCCATTTCTTTTCTATGACCACATACAATTCCAGTCTTGGTTGAGTCATGTTTAAACAGTCACAATATAAAGCATTTGATGCTTTGAAACTCTGGATTCAAATACGCTGCCTGCTGATTGTTGGAACTGCCAAATTGTCACTTACGCATACATTAGCTGCTCCCATAGGCCTCTAGCAAGTATTGAGAAAAAACAACATTTTGTTTTTGTTGTACCCACCAAACATCACTTGGCCACCAAACAACACCTAGCGTTTTTTTTTTCTGAACGCCAGCATTCTTTTTTTACAATTGTTTTAATGAGTAGAGAACATTCACAGCAGAAAGCAGCCGCCTGGAGAAAAAGTGCAGCACTCTGCGTCTTTTTTCCGAGTGTTTCGCCTTTTTTGTCAACGAGAGCTGACGTTGAAAATCTTTCAACTTTTCAGAAAGGAGCTGTTGACGTCTCCAGCGCTCTTTTCCAAAATGTACGATTACCGCCTACCGGATCGTGTCTTGTACCCACATCCTCTCCGTGTCTGATCTGAAAATAAATTTGATTAATACTCTCAAATATAAAACATTGAGTAAAAAGTGAGTCAGTGTCGGTCATACAGCGGCCATTGTCAACAGACTGTTATCATAGAGACAGGACGGACGTGCAGCGCACAAACGCTTCATTCAAGGAAAAAACACCAGGTGGACACAGGGCCTTAAGAGGAAAATTAAGGGAAGTTTACAGCCCTCTGTTGCTATGACAATTCAATAAATGGATGCATTAACAGGTTTGAAATGATGACAGTAAAAAGTCATAACGTTTGGTCAATGTGTAAGGATTGGGGTCAGCTGTAGTGGAAGTGGAGGCTATGAGTTACTGGATTTCTTTTTGCTTTAAAATATTCAGTGTAAAAGAGGAAGCGGTGTCTACTCTGTAGGAATTTTGTGCTACTCTTCAAAATGTCTCCAACTATGAGCTTTTTATACTGTCGCAGAAATGTAAGAGCCAGATCATCTGTCTTTGCTAACACCGGTGTCAAGTCTTAGTCGGTACCTTTGTGATTGACCTTGGTGGACAGAGAGAACTTGTAACACTGGATTACCATAGAGTACATTTTTTTTCTTCAACAGAACAAGAAACTTGACACCTTTCAACTACTTAATATTTGGATACATTCAGTAAAACAAAGGTGGAAGTAGAAGGAAATCTGCCAAAGTAGACTTATTTATCTCCTATTATAATCAAAAAGATTCAACAACAACAGCAGTGTTTGAGCTGCTTTTTAGCCTTGTTGTTATGTTGTCTGTGACTCTGAGCTGCCAATTTTCCACTGGACTGTTATAATGGCACAAAATCCCAGTTGCCAAGAGATTTGTGATGCAACTGTAAAGCCTCTAGAGCAGTATCTTACCAGTTGCTCTATCTGGAGTGGCTTTCATGGACCCCAGCCCTGGGTCAAATGTTTCCTCATAAAAGAAGATTTTAATTTCAAATAGATATTGTATCGTCTCTATCCGTCTCTCCATTTCTCTATTATGTTATGTCCATTTCCCTCTCTATCCTTCTGGTCCTCTCAGCACTGAGAGCTGTCCATCTACCTGTCTATAACTCAATCTCTCTCTCCGTCTGCCTTTCTATTCATTCATAGTTTACCTATAATAAACATCCCAGCCCATTGTTGTCTGCCATCCAATCCTTCTGTTTGTAAAAACAGCCTGGGTGTTGCCATGATAACAGCACAGCTGGTATTAGAGATTACTCAGGGCCCCAGGCACATACAGCTGGTGGTATAGAGGTATCCATGGGAACAGTTTTCCAGGTCCACCCGTCATCTTATCAGGATTTACAGCAGCGTCTGTTCAGATGTCCAGAGAGTGTGACAACTGTGACCTATTGATTTTCAGGATGAACATGTCTGCTCCTGTTCTAAACTGAGTGAGCACTTGTGATATATTCATATTCACCTTCCTGTGTCTGCTTCTATTCTTCATTGATATTGAAATCATTGGCAAACAGTACACACATATATGGTATACAAGGAAGACCACATGATCATAACTACTGAGCCGGGTGTTCAATATGAAATAAAACACTGATATTTAGTTTCACCTGCTATAGACGCGACTGAGCACACTGTCAAAATCAGTTGCGGGCTGATTATCAGAGCAAAGTACTTCAGTAGTTTCCATTTTTATTTTTATTAGTTAACAGTTTTTATAGCGCAACAAAGGAAAATGGGATTTTTGATGGATTCTTTTATGCCGGAGTAACTTTTACCAAAATTGATCTATTTTTAATTTTGGTGGCATTAGAAGTTTTCTTGTAAATGATATAACAGAGGAATGGTTATTTATATCAAATATACACGTCATTTTTGCCATAGATTGTAGAAAAAATTGTTAAATGGACTTGGGCTTGTGAAGCGTTTTTCGAGCCTTCTGACTACTTAAAGCACTTTTACACTGCAGGTCAAGCAGCGGGAGCAACTTGGGGTTGAGTGTCTTGCCCAAGGACACATCGGACATGTGGCTGCAGGAGCTTGGGATCGAACCCCCAACCTTCCGGTTAAGAGACGAGCGACTCTGACAACTGAGTCACAGCCGCCCCAATTTAAAAGAAAAAACTTTTAAAGAAAAATCTGAGAGACTTACTGCATGACTTCAAATTTAGAAAACATGCTAGAACGATAAAGTTCAAGAAGTTCTTTTTATTAAAAACAAAAATACATATCCATTTATAGACAAATTAACATGTACCAGTACATACATAAACTCATAGAAAGAGGCAGAGTTTATAAGACAACTCACACATTCTATCAAACACACTGACAGTACTTTCTTGTCAATTAAGGCAACAGCTTGGTGCTGAAAACAATTATGCTCCAAATGTAATGTGAATTTTATAATTGGTTTTCATTTACACCACATAACACTCTTATCCAACACTTTGGCATTTGCGTTAAGAATTAAACACCACAGACAGCTGGATGACAAACACCTTGTGTGGTTCTACGTCCAACAAAAAGTGCTCTATGCCGGGGTGAACTTATCAAATATAAGGCTCCAAAATACATGATGGCTTATCTGATTGAGTCTGTAAAAGTTCAGTTTGAACAACCTCCAGTGAATGTTTCCATGTTAACTACAGTTTTTGAGATCATTAAATTAATCTTTGTTGATCAAAAGTGGATTAAAACACATAGAAATGGTGTACCGCCATTCAATCCCCAAAAATGATTTCTTTAAAACCCATAGTTAAAGGCAGGGTTGGTAATTTTTGAAAACTAGCATGACTTTGAACTTTGAAAGTAGCATTCCCTCAGTGCTCCGTCTACACCAACCCTTCCCTCTGAGCTCCCTCAAAAGCCACGCCCCTCACTTACATGCAAGAGCGCTGTTGCTCCAGAAGCGGACCTCAGCTCTCAGCAGCTACTCACAAAAGCTAACGACGAACTTACAGTATAAACTCCGTCATCGGTGAGTGTGGGCTAGTGCACACAAGGGGTAGAGAACGAGCAGGGAGACAGGGGGCGTTATTGGTTCATCAGATTGGTACCTCTTGGCAGACATTGGTTGAAGTTTTTTCAGGCTTACAACTGATACAGATGACAGATTTCATTTGTTCCTTTTTCAGAGAACATGAGTTATTAATGTCTGTCAGGACCTAAAGACAATTTCCACCAAAACCTTAAAAAGTGTATCTGGAGAAAATTACCAACCCTGCCTGATATTTGATCAGTGTCATAAAAGGCAAATAATGATCATTTACAAGAAGCTGTTACTGCCATGGCTTTTGGGAATTGGCAGTCGATTCCTGATGTCAACAGAGATACTCTGATCGGGAACTGTCACTTTTATATGTCATCTGGGAGTCGATGCTCGACCTGGAGCATAGAAGCATTCGCTCTGATTCGTTAGTCTGTCTCCTTGCCCAAAGTTCAGTCGGATGAGGGTTCATGGTCCTTTGTTTCATTGAAATTGTCTCAAACTTGACATAGCTCTCTTTTTCAAGCTCCTCTTCGTCCGATCCTGGGTTGTTAACCTTGCAATAGAGAGCAAGAATCTTGTAGAGCAACAATGCGATCAGAGGCAAAACCAAAGCACAGGCAATGCCACTTATGATGATAAAAAGCTGGTTCTGCCCTCCATCCTCTACATTATCCAATGTGTAGAAGTCAACACAAGGATCTTTTCCAGCAGCACTTCCTTTAGCAATGAGACAAACAGAGTACTGCATCCCAGATGACAATCCCTCTAGGAGCAATTTTCCGCTTCCAGCATTGGTCTCCACTGTTCTTTTGATTTCATCCTCTCCGTAAGGTGAATACACAACCGTGAGAGGGGCATCATTTGGTATTCCATCTGCTGTCCAAAGCAACACTGCACTATCTGACGTTTCCTCTACAATCTTGAAGTCTTTCACTGACTTTGTTGAATCACTTTTCTTGCTCTTTTCATCTGCTGCAAGCTTCCTCCCATTACTGCCTTGCTGGATTTTTCCTTGTTTAAGCGAGCCCTTCTGTATAATGTTGCTGGGAGTAGTTTTCTCCCTCTTGGGGACTACTGCAGCTATTGTGGTTGATGTTCTTGGGGGAACTGTGAGTGTGACGGTCGACAAGTTAGGATTGTCTGTTGGGGGAACTAATGTTGTGGCTTGGCTAGTTGGTGCAGTACTATTGCTAGTGCTCACTGGAGGAATGGTGGTACTGATGGACCCAGCAACGGAGAGAGAAATGGTGGCTACTGCACTTCCAGCAACATTCTTAGCTTTGCAGCTGTAGTTCCCCGCGTCTTTGGACAATATTCCAGTCAAGCTCATGATGGACCATCTGATGCCATCCCCAGGTGATTCCTGGACTGAAGAGTGGAACAAGAACACAAATGTCAACATGGATCTAGCCCTACCAAGTCTTGGACAGCTTTGCATGCTTAAGAATGGGTAATGACCTTTTGGTACTAATGCCGCACACCTTAATTCTTCCTACACAGCAGGCAATGGTAAGATTTAAACAGTATTTAAGTAACTGAAGGGATTAGTCTCAATGAATTTATAACCATTTTGTTAAAAGCTTGACTTGTTAAAAACTCTACCTGTGTTGTCGACTGTGGAACCGTCTGATTTAGACCAGTGAAGAGATGGTGTTGGAAACCCTGTGGTGTCGCATCGCAGGAGAACATTACTGCCCAAAGGAGATGTGATCTTGGTTGCCGAAGTCATGACTGTTGGTTTTACACAATTGTCTATTTCAGCGCGCTGGAAAAGGACTCCTGCCAGGTTCTCTGGTCCACTACAGGTCAGGAATTGGTCCATCAAAACCACAGGGGTGACAGTCATTTTGGAAATCTCAATCATCTTGGAGATTTTACAGTCACAGAACCAGGGATTATCTTGGAGGCCTGACGAGGAAAAGATTAGATAATTAATGTATTATTTGCTGTTTCAAACAATAGCTTGTCAAACACAACAAAGGTAAAAGGTAAAGAGGCAGAACAGGTTTGAGAATGTGCCAAATGTGAATCTCTTGCTATTGACATGAGATCCATCTGAACTTTTAAAATGATGCAATAGATCTGAGAATAACATATATATATATATTTTCGAAATAGCAAGTTCATTTGTTTGGCATGAAATAGGTGCTGTTCACACCTGTGGCACACAATGGGTGAGCACATGTACTGGTGCATATTAAAGCCCTTTAAACAGATTAGTGTGCCTTAACAGTTGCAAAGCACCTTAAGCTGGCTTTGGCCTTCCTTCAGAGTGTGGCAAACACCTTTTCCACTTCCCTTTTGTTCGCTTTAATCTCAACAGAACGCTAAAGATAGTTATACAAAAGTCAAGTTTTTTTACAAGCTGAAAATGAAGATGACCAAATCATGTTTCAATGTGTTTGCTTTATATTTGAAAAGCACTTGTTTTTAATTTAGATAACATTGTCAAATAATGTAAAACCCTGAAGGTAAGCATACCTCTCGTAAAAAAAACAAGGGGAAATGGTTAAAATATGCTTAAGAGGCAGTCGTCTGCTTTGCTTGTCCACTGATTTTGTTTTTCTTTCTACAACCTAATCCTGTTTCTCCTTTGGGTACACCAGTTCACACAGGGACCTCTCTCAACACGCATTGGTTTCCTTGCCCTCATACACCCTATAAACAATTTTCTTCCCACCGTCTGTACATTACTGTTAAAAGTGAACAACTATCCCGTCTCATAGATGATGCTAATAGAATACAAAGGAGAATAACTTGCTCAAATATATCCAGTTAAAACATAGATCTATGAGGATCAATGCATAATACTGACAAATATAAACACAGCACAATGAGTCTGTTTTAATAGTTTCACTTCAGAGGACTGCAAATTATTAAAAATTATTTTTACATTCATTACACAAACCACATAGATGTAGACGTCATGTAATTGTGTGCTTTGATTCTTGACCCTTTTGAAACCGCCTTTTTCAGCCCAGTGTGCCCAGGTTTATTACACAAATTTAAAATTCCCATTGGCTATATTCCTTCTTCTTTTCCTTTCACCTGTACATGTGTCACCTTGGAGGACAGCGCAATGAGCAAGTGGTACCATTGGTACAAGATTTAATGACAAACCTAGAATTATTGCTATTATTGTACATCTGTGTTGACTTCATTCATATTTGCCAAAGCTGTAAATGTACAAAAGTACTGACTGTTTCTATGTTATCAAAGACTGCCATCCCTGGGTTTGAAGTGCAAATCAAGTAATAATAAGACACATCTGGGATTTATAAATTGAGTTAAATTCACTAAAAGGAAATAAATCTGCTCTTCTAAAATCGCTGAAGAAAGCTGAAACTAGACAATTGTAGAATGACTATTGGCCAATTCACCTATCATAGCGAAAGTCACTTCAAATGCACACTCATATTGAATATAAATTGTGGATTTTTAGCTTAATCAAATATAGTTAGATATTTTGCACTTTCAATCGAAACATTCAGTTTTGGATTTTTGCTTTTACACATTCTCAATGCTTCTTTAGTGATAAAGAGTAAGTCACAGCTTTATTTTTATAGCAAATAACTCTTATAAGAAATCATTTGCAAATTCACACATGCTAAATCTACAGGGTCAAGCTGTTCAGAGTCATTAATGTGTTTTAAAATTATATTAAAATGACCTTTACCAGAACTGTAATGTTGGCACTTGATCTGTCTTTTGCAAGAGATAAAATTACATTAAATCTTTTTTGGATATGTTATAATGTAAATAGAGTTAGCAAGAGTTTGTGTTTAGTAATAGGAACAAATGCGCAATTAATGGAAAATATTGTTAGTCAAAGGTCAAACTATCTTGAGGAATACCATAGTCAGTTAGATAGGCTTATTGTGTTCAACTGAATTGACCATGCCTTGGATTGCCAAAAAGAAGTGTGTTAAATATTCAGCCATCAACTAGGACCATAAATTGATCGTACATTTGGCACCAACTCTACCGCTACTTAGAATAAGCTAATTTGACTTAGCGTTCACTTTCAGGGCATGTTGGAGTCGATCAGAAATAGATTAAAAGGTGTTGGAATAAAGTTCCTCAGGTAATTATGAATGACCCCTGAGACACCATGTGTCCTTTTCTGCCCCTTTTACCCTGAGAAACCAAATCACCTTTATCCTTACCTAACACAACTTTCTGAGAGGCATTAGTAGAGACGGCAGCTCCATTGAATGGGGGCCAGATATCCATGAGCTCAGAGGGCAAGGTGGCTAATTTATTGCTGGAAAGGTCCAAGTAGGTAATATTGAGTAGGAATGGGATTGCCTCCATGGGGACACTAGAGATTCTGTTGTTGTGTAGATCGAGGGTCCTCAGCCTGGGCATCTCTTTCAGAGACTCCCAAGGGAACATAGAAATCATATTCCCATCTAGCCTCAACTCGTGGAGCACTTTGAGGTTGTAGAAGCTTGCAGTATCCACAGAGGTTATGGAATTGTAAGTAATCCATAGATAGCGTAGGTCCACCAAGTAGTAAAAAGCTTCTGTTGGGATTCGTCGTATTGCTGTTTTCTCAACGCGAAGTTTGACCGTGTCCACAGGGACGTTAACGGGAATATCAGACATGTCTGGATCATTGCAGAGCACAGATCTGGAAATGAAAGAAACAGGAAGTTTAATTGTTAAATCCACAGATAAAACATATTTAATGCTTTTGTTATGGACTAGAAGATCACGTTAGTAGATGATACATTATAAAATTGAAGGATTAGTCTTCAAGGTTTAAGTTATAAGTCATCCAACTATTTTTACATCCATCCATCCATCCAGCCATCCAACCATCCAACCATCCATCCAACCATCCAACCATCCAACCATCCATCCATCCATCCATCCATCCATCCATCCATCCATCCAACCATCCAACCATCCATCCATCCAACCATCCAACCATCCAACCATCCATCCATCCATCCATCCATCCATCCATCCATACAACCATCAAGACTCTCCATTGTAATGTGAATCATTTTCTGACTTGGCTGTAGTCTACACTAATGGGCAAGCTCTCAGCTACTCACTAACATCATAAATATTGAGTAATCATTCGGTTTGACCTCTTGCCCTTATGCTGCAGGAGGAGGAAAGCTAGCTGTAACCTTTGGTGTCATGGACATCATGTATGAAATTCATAAAACTCGTCTTTGGTGAAAGAGCATTTGGTGGTTTTGCTCCATCATGTTGGTCTGAGCTACAGGGTCGCCTCAAACTTGAATGTTGTATTGGTATGGGAGATTTTGAAAACAGGGATTAAGGATCATCTGACCAGTTTAGCACATGTTTTATTACTGAATGGTGCAAATGTTGTTGCTTTGTGTATTTTCGTTATGAATCTGTTGTTTGTTATTTGTGTGAGCATTGTGTGCTACTCGCTTGGCCAGGACTCACATGTAAAATAGATTTTTGTAGCTCAATGGAAATACTCCTGGTTTAATAAAACTAATTTTTAATTTTCATCACTGCGAGTACTGCCATGTCGCCATGCTCTACAGAGGACAAATCAACCTTTCCTCTTTGTTAGTGAAAATTACCATTACTAAACCAAACCAGCCCAAGGAAGTGTATGCAGTTTTTGTTGATATGCTAATAGCATTTTCTTTGTTATGTTGGACTTGTCAAAGATGCTGGACTGACTTTGTCATGTCTTCGTCGCCATAACTTGAGTGCAAGGAAAAGGATGCATGGTACAGGAAGAAATAGCACCAACAGATTACGAAGGTGACAATTAGGTAATTCTCCGATATAACAGGATTGGTACCGTGCCAGGGAATGTACATTATGTCAATACATGTCAGTACAGATTGTACAACGTATACCTTGTTGTGTTTATATTAACCTCTATTGACAAAGAACATTTATAGACTTAATCTGCCAAGTGTAAAGCAGATTTTTTATAACCTTGGTGTTAATGTTGCTTTTCCTTAATTTTAACATCTACAGAACAAGTTGCAGATTGGTGCTCATCCAAATCGGACATACTCAGAGTTTCACTCTTGGGAACAAAAAGTGCATTTCCTTTTTCCCTCTCTCCATTTTGTTTGCACTGGGACTTTAAAGGTGCAGTTATAGATGTGGGGAAGTTCAAAAAACTTGCAATGAAATTCCTCGCAAGCCAAAATTTACAAATAGTATTGTCTATTTAAAACTGTGTATGAATGCACAAAATATGTTGTGTATGACCAATCAAAGAGCCTGTGTTCTCTCTGGGTCCAGTTTCACTCTGGGATAGGCACACTACCATTGCATAAACTGGTCAATGAACTGGAACTGAAGAAGACAAAAGATTATGTTACAGTAAGCTTGGTTCCTTGTCCATTTTAAGGACGTCTTAAGAAAAATACTCTTTGACGAGGTACCAACACACATAGGCACGCTCCAGGATAGTGATATAATGAAATTGCTTTTTGTACCTCAATGCTTCTTTCTCCTAACCCTACCCACATATTCGCAGTATCTAGTTATATTTTTAAAGCCTGGAACAGAAGAAATCACACAGCTTATGCAGAGTGGCAGGCTCTCAGAGTGGATCTCACACAGCATAACTTTGCCCTGGGTGTGAATGAACAGGTGTGCACATTTTAAAGCATGGGCGCTAGGAAATGTCTGACTAATCTCATAAGGGATGCTCCATCTTGGGCAGCCAGACACGAGTCATTGATATCATTGATAAAGTCATTGATATAAAGAAGTTGAGCCATTTAGGCATCCCTATTCCAAAGTTTTAATTCATTTTATGACTTTTCTAAATCAACCACCATACAAGTAGTCATAAAAGAAGACTGTAAGAGTCCGTTTACCTGGTTCCAGCTCCATCGGTACGTCCATGGAAGACACAGGTGCACTGGGATGGACAGAAGGGATGAGCCATACTGAGGCAGCATAGGAATACATGCACACAGAGAAGTCGACGCATTATTTCACCGAGTGCCCCCCACAATCCTCACATTGAGATGATATCAGGAACAAAGACATCAAGATTCATTTAGAGCCCGGGGATGTATTCCTCGTCAAAAAATAGATGGAGTGTAATGAGAAAAGAGCTTTCAAAGTCCATAAGCAGTACGGGTACACAAGCTGAGGATCTAATTACAGTACAGGTGACCTGTCAGGCTGACTGCGTGGTGGGGGGCGGGGGTGGATTAGTGGAGGATTTCCTTGAGTTTGACAGGGTCACGCCAGCTGGCCAGTGTCATGTGGACGTCTTGCTAATCAGCTAATTCTGAAGAGGTTTCCCCTCATGTGAGCCAACCACGCCTTTTACAATCAGCTATGGCACCAACCTCCACATTGCTTTTAAAAAATTAACCTACAAGTTTTGATCAATGTAATGCCCTCATCATAAATCCATTAGTTGACACATTGCAACACTTTTTTTTAAGTATATCAAACTATGACTGTTTTGTTGAAAAAACAAATCTGTGCAGTCAGACATGGAGTTGACCTCATCATGACATACCTGTAGATGTAAGTGTATTTTTAAGGGTGGAGGCCATATGTAAGCTGTGTGAGTATGTTCTGTCTGGCTCACAGGTGCTCCATGTAATCTTGGTTTGGTCACATGACTGGGTTGAAAAGTGGTTTAGAAAGGGGGAGGGGGTGTTGTTTCTCTCCTGGAGCTTCATTTGTGACCGACATTTCACTGAATGTATTCATTTCAAACCTTTAATTAAGTCTTGAGAATCATTCAGATTTCCCTCGTTTTCAATGATGGCGAGATACAAAGAGGTTTGACATCATTGTCCACATTTTTGGAGCAAAAAAGCTAAATGTGGATTTTCCAAGTTCAGGGAAAACCCTCAGGACTTTAGGCCATCAGTAGAGCGAGTGTGGTGGGGTACGGTGGTCCAGTTCAGCAGAGATGTTATATAAGATGGTGAACGTCCAATAAGGGATTCATTCTTTTTTCTACAAACACTGATGACAAACACCGCTCTAAAATGTGGAAACACAACCTGAGTAGAGGTTAGGGTTAAATGGAAAATCAGTAGAGCCCTTCTGTTGACACAAGCTTTGATTAACACTTTGACTCCTCAGTTGAAGTGAACTACAGGAAAGGGAGACACCTAGTGGTTAGAGTGTGGTCTCCTTTGGTAAAACATGCTTTCTTCCTGGGCTGCACAATATTGGAGAAAAAATACAATCATGGATATACTGTATTACAATTTAAAACAAATGCATGTGGGGCCGCAGATAGCCTAATGGTGATGTCACTCACCCCATGTTTCAGCAGATGGCTCTTCATCATGAGTTTGCCTCTTCAGACATTTTTCTTTCAACTGTAACTTTGCTAAATGTTGCTTTGTGCTCATGATGGATTAACGTTGTCTCTTTGTAGATAACATAACTATGAGTAAGGTCTTTTGCCTATTCTTTGTAAAGTGTCTTGAGATAACAACTTATGAATTGGTGCGCCACAAATAAAGATTGGTTGATATATACTGTATAGTCGTCATCACTGCGGCCGTGGGTTTCGAATCGGACCTCGGCCCTTTGCTGCAAGTCATCCCCCACTCTCTTCACCCAATATTTCCTGTCGCTCTTCAGCTGTCCTAACCAATAACGGCAAAAAGGCCCCAAAAAGGAACTTTAAGAAATACATTAAATACAGAACAATCAAACCAGAAATTGATAAAATTGACAATATGACAAATTTTCAATTTTTGAAAAACAAAATGAAACGCAGTAAATTAAAAACATATAAATATGCTTATTAACCCTAACTGACAGTTTCTGTGCCTATCTGCTGCAATATTTTACCCAATACCTGTGTTTGCAAAATCCTTATTTCACAGGTGAATTGAAAATGGTGAAATGCAAAACATTTTTTTAACACAGATTTGGGACCAATTAATCTGAAGATAGTTGTTAGCAGCTTAAGCTTCATCAGACTGTGAGCGCATGGTCATTATCCCCATGTCTCCTTCCAACAAGTGAAATGTACACATGCTGAATGAGAAATAAGTTCAGACTTTTGTGATGTGTTTGTTGCAAACGCTCATATTGCAATCTAAATGGCCAGCAGGGTACGCCGTGCACAGCCTACACGTTCTCAGGTGCCACTCGGTTGCAGGAACACAGCATGAAAAATAAACCAATAATCAGTGGCACACTGAAAATAACTTTACAGTATTTTATCGTGAGCAAACAATGCATTTCACCTGTAGCCTCCTCAGGTTCGCTAACAACAACCATGTGTCCTGTATTCACTTCTATTAAAACAGTAATTTATCTCTAAATAATTTAACCCTGTCTCAGCTCACCCGACGGTTGATTTTTGCCTCAGAAGGTCGCCATCACAAATCTTTTCTCACAACCAGCAGCACTACTGAATGATGTCACCTTGAAGCTCAGAACAAAACGAACACAAGACACATGAAGTATTTATGAACAAGTACACAAGTGAATTTTATTAATGCAAGCAAATTTGATCATACAGGTCAAATAAGCCACTTCAAGCTGTTGGCACATGGATGTACAAAACAGATTCAATTGAAAGCCTGCTACTAAGCATTCGTAGTGAAAGTACAAAAGACTAAAACGAGGAGAAAGCTGAAAGCATCTTTTTCTTTTTTCAGGTCATTACAGAGTAAGCAATGTCGGTACAGGTATTAGTTTGAAGACATGGTTGAGAGCTCATCACAAACTAAACAGACACAACTCAAAGACTACAGTCTCTATTTTCAGTAGCATAACGCGGTAAGCGTGGGAGGTTTAGTACTGCACATATAAACGAAGGGTTGATCCAGCAAGACAGTCAGAAGTGTACAAAATAAGGAAGTGGAATAAAGTAACTTTTGAGTCAAGAAGACTATATTAATGCATGTCCATGCCACGAAAAACATCTAAATTCACAGTCTTTACTAACAGTACAGTTATCCAACTTTGAGTTGAACACCAATGCGCTTACATCTAGAGAGAGAGAGAGAGCACAGAAATGGTCAAATAAGTGCATGAAACTAGCTTTAAGGAGTATTGGCAAAAGAAAAGCTTCACCAGGCAATGAACTGACAGGCAACCTTTTGTCGTCATGTGGCATCAGGATGTGTAAGCTATACAGTTACCATCATGGACAGAAAAATCACTGTGACACACACTTTTCTCACATCGGATAAATCCACCAAGGAGTGCCATTTACACCGACAACTTATTGTCAAGGATTCTTTTTTCAGGGTTGAGACTGATTGATGCGGAGCGGGCTGACCCACGGTGATCTCTTCGTCTTTAAACGTCAGTGCTTAACATATAGGTATGCTTTGATATATCGGTATGTACAGTGCAGAGTTCTGCAGAACAGGACTTTAGTATTTAAAAAGGTAAGAAATTAAAAAAGTGATTATGAAAGAATGTTTGCATGTGCTTTTTGTAGCTTGTGATACAAAGAGGATGGATTCTGTCACAGTCCTACGATAAATTAAATTGGCATTATTATCATCAAATAACACACTTTGATCGGCTAATCACGTCTTGGACATCGATGAAAGTCGTTGTTTCCTGTTTAACAGGCTTGGCACGTCTAGCAAATATTTGTTTAGCGCTAATGATTTGGTATTTATTATCATGTTGCAGTTTTTGAATAGAAAAACAGATTGATTGCTTTCATGTGAAAGCATATTTTTTTTGAATCCCTGGGAGTACTAGTATGACAAAGGCTTACAATGCATCATGGGTGTGTTGTAATATTTAAAACATTTTCCAGACTATCCACCCGTTCACTTACAGTACATAGTTCTTGAACATGAAAATCTCCAGACACACAACATGAGAAATGTGCTTGAAAACCCTTTTGAAGCCCCTGTTGACCCCCCTCGGACATTTAGCAAAAAAGAAAATAAATTATGCATGAGAGCAAAAATGACACGAAGCAATCGAATAGAAAGTCAAGAAAAATCAAACAATCATACGCAAATCATTCAAAGTAGAAAAAAAAGAAAGAAGCTGAATACTACTGCTACTTCTGATTCTACAAACTACACTAAAAACTACGATCAGCACTAAACGACTCGAATCAAGAATAAGAGAACTGCCATAATGATAACACCATCCATGAGAGAGGTAAAGGGGCTTTTTTTTTTTCATCTGAAATGCTGTTTGTGACCGAGGAGGTTTGTGTGACGTTCCCCTCCCCGGACCACATTGTCATATGACGCACCAGTGACATCAGCAGTGGCGAGGGCCCTAGGCGCCATCCGCCCCCCCTGGGGAGGGGATGGTAGAGAGAGACAGATAGAAAGACAGAAGAGAGAGAGAGAGAGAGAGAGAGAGAGAGGGAGAGAGGGAGGGAGGGAGGGAGAGGCCGGAGTGGCAGGGCCAGGCCTCACGCTGGGCTTTTATGTGTAGGCGTTGAGACGCTCCTTGGAGCGAGTGGAGTGGATGTCGTGAAGCTCCTGCTCCTCCTTCGACTTGATGTCCTCGTACTTCTGCATTCGGCAGGCGTCCTTCACATAGGCCCAGTTGGCAGAAAGCACCATCAAGTAGTGGATCTGTCGGAGGTGGAAAACGATTAAGTGTAAAGCGACTATTTTACAAATCAGATGCAATTAACGTTATGACAAAAGTGCTGATCACAATTAATAATTTGAACTAGCAGTGGCACAGGATGATCTCCTGTTTCAACATTACGACGATTATCTCCATGGATACGCCTTTTAAAACTGGATTACAAAGATGTCAGTTTAAGCAAAACAAAGCTTAGACTTGTAGTCCTGTTGAGTTTAGACTCTTAAGTCAAGAGGATTTTCTGAGTGGTCCAGCAGATGGCAGCATTGTGCTGAATGTAATCTTGTACTTGCGTTACCATGGCAGCTAAGGTTATAATGAACTCATTGGGCTTTAGTGACCTAACTTGTAGCAAGGAATAATGCTTTCAAATCTGCTGTGGTGCTTTTTCTGACACTCAGACAGATTAATCTTTTG